TGCATCCCACCTGCATCCCACTGGGAATGAGGGACCCCCGTGAGCCCCCCCAGGCCCTGCATCCCACCAGGAATGAGGGACCCCCCTGAGCTCCTCCAGGTCCTGCATCCCACCTGCATCCCACTGGGAATGAGGGACCCCTGTGAGCCCCCCTGAGCCCTGCATCCTACTGGGAATGAGGGACCCCAGGCTCTGCATCCCACCAGGAATGAGGGATCCCTGTGAGCCCCCCTGAGCCCTGCATCCCACCTGCATCCCACTGGGAATGAGGGATCCCCGTGAGCCCCCCCAGGCCCTGCATCCCACCTGCATCCCACCGGGAAAGAGGCACCTGAACTTCCCAAACCTCCCAAACCCCTGAGCTTCCCAAACCTCCCGAATCCTTGGCACACACAGACATTTCCTTTTCAGCCTCCCCATTCCCTCTAATTTCCCCTCTCCCCGTGTTTTCCTCCCCCTCTGCCCTGCCCCTGGTCACACCAGGGGGATGGTTCCACCATGGAACTGGGCATTCCCAAATTCCAGGCTAAACCTGGAGTTAACTGAGCTTTTTTATGTCCTTTACATTCCAAAACAAATCAGGTTTTTCCTTCATTTCCAAGTGCTGGGCAGAGCCAGAACCTCCTCACACCCTCTTTGCTGAGCTGTTCCCACTTTACTTTAACTAACCCTCAATATTTTGATGATTCTTCAGCCCAATTAAGCCCCAATCAAGCCAAAACATGAATATTAAAGCCTCAAAAAGGTACCTTTTTGTCCCACTGCTGGTGTAAATAACGCAAGAGGATATTTGTCTTTTCTGTTACTATGACTAAAAAAAAAAACACACAAAAAGAGAGAAAAACACACCAGGGTCATTTTAAAGACAAGTCTCAAACCATTTTAACCCTCAAACATTTTAACCCTCAAACATTTTAACCCTCAAACCATTTTAACCCTCAAACCATTTTAACCCTCAAACCATTTTAACCCTCAAACCATTTTAACCCTCAAACCATTTTAACCCTCAAACATTTTAACCCTCAAACCATTTTAACTCTCAAACCACTTTAAACCATTTAAGTTTCAAACAAAGGAGATTATACACGTGATTTTTTTAATATCAGACCAGCATGAAATCACTTAAAAAATGGGATTTTAACACTCACTTTGTTCAGAGGGAAATTCTCTCGTGGGCAGATAAACTGATGGGCGTCTGTTCTGTAGCAGAATTAGAGCAAAGACAGTAAAAAAGGGGATTTCTTTTTGTTTTTTAACCCAAACCTGAAATGCCCACATAATGGGCTAGAAATTCTCTGTGTAATTCTCTAATAACACATCACATAAAGAATTATTTATTACATGTTATATTGTTTTAAATTCTCTAATATTATTCTCTCCATATAAATCTATAATAACACATAACATAATGGACATAACTTGTGATTCCATCCAGCCCATTTTTACCCATTTTCCAGGACACAAGCCCTGGAATTCAGGGATTTACCCCCAGATGAAGCCCCAGAGCCGTGTGGAAGTTCCATGGGGGGTTTTCCTTGCCAAGCCCAGCTGTTCCACCCTCATTTAAATTTATTTCTCCCTTAATTTCCCCTCCTTTCCCCCCCAATCCCTGGGATTTTTGGGAATACTCACGGATGCTTTACACACGGAATCCGCATGGAACCTGCTGAAGTTGCTTTTGTTGTACACTGGTAACCCCTTCAAAAAATCTGCCTGGAAACACCAAAGAAACAGGTGAGGAGAAAGGAGGGATGTTCCCAGGAGGAGCTGAGGGAGGCTCTGGGATCCCGTGGAACCCATCCCAAACTCCCTGTGCCAGGCAAACCAATCCCAAAATTCAGGAACTGACTTAAAAAAGCTGCTCATTAAAGGTGTTTGGGCACAACAAACCAGTTGCTCCTTATATATAATATAATAATATATCACGTATTCTACCTTATATAATAAGTTGTAATTATGTATTACACATTCTGTATTATTATATTGTATATTATATAAAATACTAATTCCTATTATTTTTATATTGATTCCTATTATTTTATGTTAA